CYTTCACTCAAAAATGTTACAGTTACTTTCTGGCGAGCAGTGTGATAGTTTTTAACTATATGTTAACTACAAAAATGTACTAGTTAAGGATACATTTAAGCTCTTTTTTTTTTTTAAATATAAAACTTTTTGCCTTTGAAAGCAAGTGTTTCCATGTTACTCCATGCATACTACAATGGATGTTGTGTAGATTGTTGCTGCAAGTTAAATTTTGCCATAAAATCACCATCCATCCCAGRGTGGACAGAATACAGGCTGGTAATGCAGTTCTTGGCACTGGAGTCACAAGTCAAGAATTTGGAAGTCTCTAAAGGCTTTTTTAGCCATTGCCTCTCCCCGCTTCCTCCTGCCCCTTCAATGTGCTTTGCAGGGTAAAGCACCWTTCCTTAAGCAGCTTTTCTAGCTACATTAAAGAATTTGTGCATGGAGATTTTGGGAGAACAAAGCCAAATATTGGCTCGCTACTGAACCGAACTGCTGACATCCTGGAGTTGGATGTAGAAGTAAGTTGCTTCTTATTTATGTTCCCTGGAAATCAGTGATGGAGTTGGATTTGTGAGGTACTTTCAGTAGAACCGCTCTGTCCACATCAAGTGTCCCAACTATCCATTCCTTACAGCAGTTGGTACAAAAGTTGATGTTGGTGCAGAGAGAATGGTTTGTACCCTGCTCACATATTAGATACATCTATACATGCATCATTCCTTTCTCTTGGAATTTTAAAACAGAACTGGATGAAAAACAAGAGTCATCTGACTTCATCTTTCAATATCAGTTCAAACACAGTAAGGAAATATATCTATTTTCTTCCTGGAAGAGAATGCTAACTTGTAGCTACAAAATTCATAGTTCAAAAGAATGTGTGTAGCAATTGGGGTTTAKTACTTGACCTAATGGCTGGGCAGGCTTTATTTAAAACACGATTATCCCAGTGAAGCAATGCCAGCTTCAGTAGTCATTAACTAGGCAGTCTTGAAGCCAAAGTGTTTAATGTGCCGTGTTGTGATCCCTGCTTTGACGAGTGGTGATGCTTCCCTAACGTAGGGTGGCTGCCTTGGGAAGAGGGGGAGCACAACAAGCTTGTCTAAAGCGCRCTGGGATGTGGCAGCAGCGAGGCCAGGGGAGGAAGGTGTGACCCAGGTTTAGTAATGGCTGCATTTGCTTCTCATGAAGTGTTGAGCACGTTCTGTGTGTGTTGGCCCACGGTCAGGACGACTGCCCGTGGCCTTGCCTGTGCGTGATGCTTGCCAGCCTAGTCTTTTCAGGGAGTTGTACTTGCTCTGGAGACRGATCTGGGGACAGGTGGTGCTTTGTGCTCCAGCCTGGCACGCACTGCCCCGGGCTGGATACCTCTGCCGGAGCAGTCAGTTGTTCTCACGGCRTCACAGCCCGTGGGCAGGATTTACTGGCAGAGGGTGCCAGCACTTCACATTTCCGAGCAACTGCCCTGGACGCTTTACAAATGCAGGCCTGCATCAATGGTGTCCGGGAAGCAGTAGTACCAGTATTTCTGGTTCTGCTTCGGGAAGGGCATGCAGCGTCCAGGGAGCTCTCTCCAGGCACGTACGGAACCAGGTGGCTCTTTCAGACACTCTCTCCTTGTCCTGTGCTCTGYTTCTCATCATCGACTCTGCTGTCCCCTGTTAACCTGCAGCTGACAGGCATGGAGTTCTAGCAGCAAGTCTCACTCTCTATCCAAAATGCCAGATCTGCTCATTTTGTCTTTTCCTCCCCCACCTTCTCTTCTAGTCTGTTGACGTTGACTGGCCTCCAGCCCTGGATAACTAACTAGCTCTTCAAGCTGGGACGAGGAAGAGCAGCGCCCGGGTCAGCAGCTGGTTACGGATTGAACGTTGTGCAGTTTTGCAGCTGGGCTGCTCCTTGCAGAGTCTTTGTGCTGAACATTTGGATCATGTTGATCCGCCAAAAGGTGACGTTGCTTTGAATTGACTTTCAGCACTCTGGAACAGGTAGTGTTGATTTGCTTAATCTCTACCCTTATTTTAGTTCCTGTCTTTCATAGAATTGGTAAGCTAGTGCAGTAAGCGTTTTAAAAATAATTGAGAGAAACAAAAATGGTGTCAAATGCAAACAAGGTACTGAGACACCTCAAATAGACCTTCTGCAGGACTGCTTGAAGACGTTCACATTGAAAGCAACCTTCACTGAGACTTTTTATTATTATAATTTTTAAATGGGATGTTTTCATGTGGGTGCTGCCTTGGCTGGGTGCGGGCGCCGCCGGGCTGGCGGTGGGCAGCGCTTGCAGGGCCCGGCTCGTGGGCGCCCGTGGAGGGGACACGCGGCGGGCGGGCGGCCTCTGCGAGCAGGGGCAGTGGCTGCTGCCGGGTGACCTTGTGCTGAGCGCTGCCTGCTTGTGCCGCTGCCTCCTTCAGCCATGCACTGAGTCGTCTCCCAAAGCAGCTGTCTAGAGGGAAAAGCGGTTTTCGTATGAAAAGTCTGCGCTGAGAACGTAGGGTTTTATTCTCATTTAAAAATATTAGTGATGCTTCCTAGGAACTGCAGTTGAGGTCCGTGGGGCCTGCAGTCTATTGGCTGCCTGGCTTGCTTGCAGGCCTCTTCAGGCACAGGACTTCCCCACTGTTGAGTCACCATAATAAAAAGATTGGGTATTCCTGGCAGTGGTACGTGATGGAAATCCAGAGAATAGGGATACAGAGAAGTCAAAAGTGCAAGTAAATAATAAAGTGTAATGTAAAATATTGCTATTGAGAGATAGAGGCTTTGCTGCATGTATGGAGTGAATATCTGAAATGTCTCATTTTTCCCGTGTCTCCAAGGGAGATTCCACAACCCCAGCCCAGAGGAAGGAAGGGGCTGAGCCGAGTGCCCACTGGGGCAAGGGCACCGTCCCCTTGGCCGCAAGAGCGGCGCAGGCACCGAGCTCCTCAGCCTAGCTGGGCTGCACTGTGGCCTTGGCCTTGGGCCTGCCTAGTGACCAGGCCCCCAGTTCTCCAAGTGTTCAGGAAAAGCAGCTTTTATGCCAGGATCCTCTTGCACAGTCCCCAAAGGAATTAAAACTATACATTGCATTTGGTAAAATCGGAATAAATATAATGTAACCAAATGCAATCCACTGGTAATGTGCAAATGCATTCAGAAGATACTTCTGCTCACCTGAAGCACAGACAAGAGTCCACAAGAAATTCAGATTTGGAATTTAAGGACTCTTCTTAATTCTTTATCATTGAGATCACTGATCACTGAGATGCTTTGCTTCCAATTCAGTGGTGCTGGAGATTCGTAATAGAAAAGCTCAGGACATGAATCCTGAGATTTTAAAGGAGCTCCTGAAAACTGACCTGGAAACAATAGTCTAAATATCACCCCCATGGTCTGTGATGGGCCCTCAGTATCTCTGTCATTGCTTGTTTGCCAAGCCCGCTGCGACACAAGTATATCCTCTTTTTGTAAGACACAAATAAGTAAGAGGAACATGAGCAGACAGCAACATTTTTTTTGTTTTTAATCTTAAAGCTGTTATGAGCAAGAGATTCCAGCAGCAGCTGTGTCAGATAATAATCTGTGTAAGTAGCTACAACCACCTAGAAAGGAAGTGATCAGATAGGAAACTTAAACTAATACCAAAAAAAAGAGAATTTCAGTCTCATAAGTATAGGATTTCTGGAAAGAAACTCGGCAGTAGACAGAATACGATTTTTAAATAGGACAAACATTAGAAGGGCTGTCCCCAAAGGGAAACAAAACACAGAGCAAGAGGGCCGCTCACTTGTGTCGTAATGCGAGGGCACGGGGGCTCCCGCCTTGAGCTCTGCCTTCCGTGTGCGGGCCGGGGCCGGGGAAGACCCGGTCAGAAGCGGCGCGCCGGTCACCGAGGCCGTGAGGGTTAGTGCCAGCGTCGGCTCCGGCCGCGCCGCGCGCRGGGCGCCCCCAAACACGGCTCCGTCAGGCACCTTCTGTGATTAAATTTGAGGCATCCMATGAGGGGGAAAAAGCTGATGGTGCAAATGCCTGTCTGTACAGCTGTTCAGATGTTCACTCACTGTTCAGTAATCAGGAACATATGAAAATTAGAGATGTAATCTGTTTTCAACTGTGTTTAAAGGCTGCAGTTTTAATAAAGGAAAATAAATACTTTGAACTGTCATCATCTCTAATGGCAGCAGTGGTACTAGTGTTGTACTTAGGCCCTCATCTKGTTTTTCAAGTAAAATACTTGTGTGTACAGTGAATTAAATAGGATGCTTTTGTGAGGCTAACGAGCAAGATTTAATCTCGCTCTTGAGGAGAATGTTTCAAAGAGGTAAACGTTTTCTTGCACATTATGTGGAAAATGCTGAAAAATAAGATCTAAGCAGTGTTTCTTAGTATCATTCTTCATGCTCCAAGCACTCAAATCTCTCTCCAAACAATTGCTCACTTAAAATCATCTCCCTGCATTTTGTTTTTTATCACTTTAGCTGAACTTGGAGATTTAGGAGGAAGCTGTTTGCCAAGGAAGGTGCTTGGGTGCAGCTGCCCTTTGTGCCCCGCTGACTAACTGGGAATAAAAAATGATGGGTGAAGCTGAACCCCTCCGTACCCGCTGTTCTAGGCTGTGCAGTGATCACCAGGAATCGTGTGCACAATAAAATACCCTAGAGAGCCCCGGGACACACAAACCCACACCAGCTTCTCTGAKTTCCTTGGCTTTGCTGAGGCAGGGATATCATTTTAAACTTGAGGAGGTTGCAGAAGCTGAGTAATTAATGATCAGTTTTTTTAATTACCAAACCAACTTGTTTACAAAGGAAAACAACATTGAAAATATTTAATTATACAACAAAAACAAATTATACTATAGAGCCTATATAAAATGAGCAAAATGTTTACATTTCATAAAATTGAGAACTTCAAAAAAAATTAAGAACTGAATAAACAACACATGCGAAGCTTCCTGTTGTTCCTTGTACTTCTTTGGCTTTTGTATTGCTCGAGACTGATGGAGAGCTCCTGCACAGGCCGGTGTTGCAGGCGACAGGCAGCTCCTGCAAAGGCAGGTGTTGTGCAGATGGGAGGAAATGCTGCTGAAAGCACAAAGCCCGTCCGATCCACCGTGTATCTGGCGTTAGGGGCCAGAGTCCCCAGCGCTCGCGCCACTGGTACCCAGCCTGTGCGGCGTGTGCTCCCCACGGGGATCTGGGGGCTCCTCTGCCCTGTAAACCACTTTACATCTCGGCAGCCTCTCTTGGCTGGGGGCTGCGGCGTTTCTGCTCGTCTCTATAGGCACATGTGTAAGGGAAATAGCTATCGCTTCTCTCATTGTACAGTTTTCCGTGGCCAAACAGTAACCAGTTCGTGTCTTGAGCCGTATCTGCCATAGGAGACAGCTGTGCTCGTGGCTTTGGAGATGTGTTGCTTCGTAAAAAGAGTTGTTACAATAATATTAAAACAGCAAAGCCCTATATGCAAAATCAAGTGCCCTACGTAGCCAGTAACATCTCATGAGGTGTCGTTACACATCTCATGGCTGAGCCAAGACGGGAGGTTGGGAAGCAAAGGGAAAGCGGCTCCGATCTCCRCTCCGGAGTGCGGGGGGGGGTCGTTAGTAGTGCCCCAAAGGGCTTCCTTTTGTGTTAATGGGGTGGCAGGGAGGCTGCGCCTCGGGGGCGCCCCAAACTTTCTTATGGGGGGGCTAGGAGGGAGGGGGGTCAGGCCCTGACCCTCGGTTAAGCAGTCACTTGCATAGCAGGAAACTGCCAGGATACCTGAGGAAAGAAAAGGGAGATGCCTTGGCCCAATATATTTCTGCTATTCAGAATAAAATACATAGAACAGCCACACAGGGGAAAAAATAATCAGGAGATATAACAGCATGCTCCATTCCTAAAGCAACATGGTTTTGTCCTTTAAAATATAGTGCACTTTGGATGAAGTGCTGAAAAGTCCTTCTTTTCTGTTCATGCTTTGTGCAGTGATTCATTTACAACAGAGCTGGACTACTTAAAAATTCAAACAAACCTTCCGGTCTTTTAAAATACATCGAACAATGACATAGTCATTAAAAAGTTTTGAGAGCAAATTTGCCTTTAAAGCAAATGGAATGCGATGAAGAGGTGAGAAAAAAAATCCATGCAAAATCTTGTTTTAGTAGAAGAATATATCCATATAAAAGAGGGCAAGAAACCTAAAATTTTCAAATAAATTGCATAAAACTTTTACAGTATTAGGCAAGTCTGAGCAAGAATGCTCATGTGCATCTTCTGCCTAATTTCTGTTGTATCAAAATCTATTTCCATAGCAAAAAGGGCTTCTTTCCAAACAATTTTAACTCTGTGAATTATTTGAAACTTGACCCTTCTGAAGATACCAGCTTTTACAACTGAGCTCCCCAAAAGCCAGGAAGCTTTAAGTGTTAAAAATTCCTTTTTTTTTTCCCCACAGTGTAAAAAAATGTGTATGAGGTACTTCTAAGGTTCAGAACTCTAAACCCTAGTCCCACCTCTCCTCTTAATGGGCACCAGTCTTAGGGCTATAATATATAACCATAAGTTACATCATGAAACCTGCATATTAACGTGCTGAGAGGGAAAGCCGGCAATCCAGAAGGATAAGAAGTTACTCGTCYTCCCGCAGGCAGCCGTGTGAGAGCTCTAGGCGCCCAGCGCCGCCTGGCAGCGCTGGCTCAAGGGTTATAGCTCGGCAGGATGCTATCGAACTGGAAGGACGCGTAGAGCTCGTCACCATCCGCGTCATAGAACTGGGTGTCTGCAATGCTAGTCTGGTGGTTCTGCAGCGGGTTGGTGGACAGGCTCGATTCACTCAAAAGCTCTTGGTCTGTGAAACTGTAGGCTGTGGGATCGGCTAAGTTAGACTGCGAATTAAAAGCTGTGCTGCCAGGAGGGGCTGCCACAGGGGTGCACGCCGGCGGCCCCTGGTGCAGCTGCTGCCTGGCGTTGCTTGCAGGCAGCCCCGGGTTGTACTTGTCGAAGCTCAGACTGGCGAAGTTGATGTCCTCGGTGTCCATGCTGACGATGCTGGCGGCGCTCGCGGTGGCCGCGTGCGCCTGCTGCGCGAGGCCGCCGCTGGAGACGCTCTGCACGTCTGCCGGCGGCACCAGCCCCGCTCCCAGGCCGTTGGTGCCCACAAAGCCCCTGTAGAAACGCGCGTCCTTCTCGTCAGGCCAGTTCAGGGAGCTGTCGAAGGTCTGGAGGGAGCCGCTGCCCTGCGCGCTGCCCTGCAGCACCTCCTCGGCAAAGCTGCTCTGCGCGTGCCCGCTGACCAGGCTGCCCAGGGCCGGCGCCGCGCTCGGGGGCGGCCAGCACGACGAGAGCGCGTCCTGCTTCCCCGGCACCACCTGCAGCGGCTGCGGCGGCATCTGGGTGCAGGCCGAGTACAGCTGACTGGTGTTGGCCACAGCTCCAGAGCCTGGCATCAGCAGTGTGGAGGAAAACAGGCTTGGTTCTACAAAAAGGAAAGACGGCAGCACGTTTTTAGGCTGCTGCGTGTACGGACAAGCTCACGAAAGACGGACAGCACAGCTAAGGCTGCACAGGCTGACAAAGCTCAAGGTTTCTAGCGTTGTTTTGGCCCAGCAAAGCTTTAAGTGCTGCTGTCTTAACAAGACTGCACTTAAGTTCTTGGTTAAGTGCTCTCCACAGTACGACCTAAGAGCTCGGGACAGCAGCAGCACAGGTATCCTCAACCTCAGCCCTCTGCGTGGCAAATACTGAGGAGGGCAGCCTGGGTGTAAAACACCCAGTGGCTTCTGTTTGCGCAGTCAGAAGTACCAGTATCTTATGGCAAGACAACCTGGAGAGAATTTCAGAACTTCAAGCAAGGAGGAGGGAAAACAAATTGTCCCCATACCAAGTAGACACTGGCAGGCTGGCACATGTAAGCAAAAACCTACCTTTCTTAATCAGCTTCCCTTCAGAAGCAACAGGTGGGAATGGAGCTACTTTGGGCCTCTCTGATGCATTTGATCCTGTAGTAGAAGGAATCATGAATCTACTCCTAATTTGTGTTTTTAAATAAAAGATTTCCATCTAGTTGTGCACCGTGCACTGAAACAAGAAAYAGCCAAGTATTTTGCTTACCACAGTCCTGTATGAGTTTCTGCCAAGCCAACGTTGACCTTTGCCTTTTCGCTTTGTTGCCRTATGGATCTGCAGAGAAAGAATGCAAGGAAAAGCTGGGTTAGCAAAGGTTTTCTTCAATATAATTTGTGAAGGAACTTCCTAAAAGCTATACTTTTAGGAAGGAACTTCCTAAAAGCCCATTTTTTAACCTAAGATTAAGTTCAAATCTATTATCAGCAAGAGTTCYGCAAGGAAAGTGAACTTGAAGCGAGCCAAGGAACTGGGACCGTACCCTTCTCATCGGGCAGGTATCTGAAGTCCATGGGCTCGCTGACTTCCTGGTCGGAAGGTCTGCGCAGCTGCATCTTCACGGTGACGGGCTCGGTGATGTCGCGGAGGAAGGGCGGCGTCCTGAACACGATGGCAACCTGGCGATGGACGTCRGCCTGCGAGAAGGAGCCTTTCGCCTCCCAGTTGTCCAGGACAAATCTGACTTCTATGTCGTCTAGGCCACCAGGAAAAAAACAAAAAAGTGCTTGTTAAGCCGAAGAAGAAAACTAGAAACTTCCCTGCTGCAAGCAGGGAAGGCGGGAAGCGAGACAAGGAAAAGCACAGAGTCAATTCTAAAGCTGCACGGCCTATTTAGTATCTTTTAGAGGTGCTACCCTTGAATCTGAAAGCTCTCTGCTTTGCTAAACACAGGCACCTTCAGGGTTCAAGTTGCCAAGTGAGGAAGTGKCAGCGTCGGCACTGGGAAGGAAGGAGAAAGAGCCAGTTAAAGTGGTCACCTTTTTGAACCTTGTCGCACAGTAGGAATATCTCATCTCCTCCTTTTACACTTCCACAGTTCTTATTCACACGACAAATCCGCAATTCTGCTGTGTTGGGAGCTCCTGGAAACAAACAGACAAATTTGGCGGCTGAGAATTTCTGTAAGTTTGTTGCTGTTGAAGAAGARCTGCAGGGAATTAAGGGAGCTGACAGGAATGTAACAGCTGGGGGAATGTGACACCCAAAGGTCTGGCCCTGAAAGCCACACTAAAAAACATTCTGTTTGATCTCAAGCGGAGGAGTTTTGYAAAGCCACCCAGGGCACTGCACATGAGCAGGCCCAGCTCACCRCGGGGTCTCCACCTGTCCGGGGTTAACGGTGCTCCAATACACAGGAAACACCGAGGCACTGTTTCCTTCTCCGTGCAAATCCGGAATCAGCAACTAGGAGGGCTGTTACACAGCTCTTGTCTGCTCATCTCCAACACGAGGTGGGAGAGCAGCAGGTTGGTGCCGCTCGCTCCCGACGGTTCTGGAGCAGCTTCCCCAAACACCTCACAGGACGCTGTTGTGCTCGGCACCACTGCGCTTCAGGCTGCAAAATTCCGAAGTCTTTTGAGTGCCTCATCACCTGTTACAGCCACTTCTCTGGAAGAGCAGGGGCTAGCAAGTCAAGCACTCCCCTCTCCAAGCCTGTGGGTGAGGTGTCACTCGCAGACCTGTGTGGCCACCAAACCTCTCCATGACCTAAGGAGGCTGGAGGATCGCAGGGCACCAGCTGTGAGAGCCGGGGACGCAGCGCTGGGGATGCGCAGGCAGCCGCCTTCCCACAGAACCAGTGCTGGCAGGAAGCTACTGCAGGTCACTCTGCTTCCTACGTACTAAACGTGCCTTTCCAAGTGCAAATACCTGCAGGGAGCAGGCTGCTCAGAGCTCCATGGGCTCTGTTCACAGCCATTCAAATGAAGGGTAAGTCACAAGGTAGGGATTCCGCAGCACAAAGCTGCCAGAATGGAAGGACTCCTGCTCCCACACTGAGCTCAGCCCCTGTTCCTAYACCTTATGTTGACATTTTATGTATATGAACATACCACGTTTTTCCAAGAACCCYGTTTTCACTCAAAGAGAAGGTAACTGATGCTCCTCTCTCTGCTGCTGTGTGTGATGAGGCATTCGTCCCATTCGCTGCATCCTCTTCCAGCCCTCCATTCCAGACAACTGCCTGGCACTTCCCCATGTTCCTCTAGCTCCKTTACTTCAGAAATGCCTTGGAAAGCCTGAGCAACCCAGGCTACAACCCAGGGATCCCCTCCTCCTCTCGCCCGCTCCCCATGCCCTGCACGGAACTGAAGTGCAGGGAGCGAAGTGCAGGGCAGCACCCGGCAAAACCCGCCGTGTTGGGGCCCTGCTCTGCATGGATCCAGGAGGCGGAATTCCATGGGGGAGGCTGGAGCAGGCGCTGCGCGCAGCAGTGCTCACCGCTCCCTCGTGCAGCGGCTCTGCTGGCCGAATGAATCAGAAACTTTGAAGGGTGGAGGGGAAAAACCCCCGAGCCGAGCAGCCGTTCAGGATCATATGATTGACTCTGTCAGCGCCTGGCAGTGTCACTGTGCTCTTCACAGGAAGAATAAATTAAGCATTGCAAGGAAAAGTTTAATTTTACCTCTGTTTCACTTCTGCAAGCCCAAATGGCAGCCAGGGTCCTTCTCGCTGGCTTTGGGGATGGTGTCCCGYGCTTGCTGACTTTGTCTTTTTTTCCAAGGGGTTTAGAAGGGAACAAAAAGGGAGGACACAGGAAGCCGGCACTAGTGGCCGCTCCGCTTCCCACCTCCCCCTTCCTGCCCATTCCTGCTCCTCACTCCCCATTTCTGAACTTTGCCCTCTCCTTCTGCTCCCCAGGGCTTCTGAACCCACTTTGCTTTCCCCGCGGGCTCTGCACAAAGCCTCCTCTCCAGGTCCTGCCCCGAGCCCCAAACTCCCCTCAGTGTTTCCCTGAGGCTGCAGAAACGGCACAAGTCGCCCCAAGGGC